CGGGAGCAAAAGGCCGCCCGAGGGGGCGTTTCTTCCCAGTGCGGGGCGCGGCGCCCCACAAACACCGCTGGGCCCCGGAGGCCAAGCCCTGCGCAGTTTTCCCAAGCGAGCTCCCTGCTGCTTGCTCAGACCACACTCACCTCCGTGCAGATGCGCGTTTCGCGGACAGAGCTGCACGTCCGCCCTGAGTCCATTTCCGGCCAGCGGGGCAGGGCGGCCTCTGGCTGCCGTTCAGTCGCGGCTGGAGCCGCCTGTCTCCTCTTCCCCTTCTCACCACTGCGCTTGACTCCTTTTCAAAACAAAGAATGAACCTATTTCCAACCAACACAGAAGTTACGAGGACGAACAACTTTACACTAATTAAAATCAACTACTACTACTTCCTCGGTTTAAGAACTGACCACCTCAAGAAAAACTTCTTAAAATGTATGTATAGTGCATATATGTAATATATATATAAGAATAACCACAACGCACGCAGGTGCTTGTTTTTACCCCACTTTGGTCACCAAAGGTTTGAAGTGGCTGGAGTCTGACATTTACAACTGTCTTCGCCTAAAAAATGTGATCGTACCCCCCAAATATGCAGGGACCTCTGCGTGCCCCAGCCAGTGTGCGACCCTTTCTCTCCAACCCTGCTTCAGAGGCGGTTTCCAGATCCCATGTTTCCTTGTTTCCGTCTACAGCAGAACCACCAGGTTGACAAGTTCTAGACCATTCCCACTGGGACATTACAGAGCTGCTGCGGGAGCAAGAGGGGCCGCTCAAGGGCCCTGCGTCCCGGGGAAGGCGGCACAGGGACCGCGCACCGGCACCCTGGCCAGAGGCCCCGCTGCCTTCGGGACCAGGGAGGCGGGGGCCGCACAGCTCCACTCAAGATGACGCTGCTTAAACGCAGAAAACAGACAGACACGAAACGGCTTATCCAGCATGAGCCTATCTGTGTTTAATAAAGGAAGGGAAGAGAAAGGCCACACACACACTTTCATAAGCACAGAAAACTTCCGGCAGGCTTTGCGAAAAAGAGCCACTGGCAGCGCGGGAGTCCTTTACCCTCCAACGGACTCCAGACTCCTGTACTTTCTTTTTTAACCATAAGCATGGGTTGCTTTTATATATTTTTTTAAATTAATGTTGTTTTAAACAACTTTGATTTAAACATGGTGGGAAAAAGAACTTTGGCGTTGTCCCTGCAAGGAGAAAAACAGGAACTCAAACCTCGGATGCTGTGAGGGATCCAAGGCCTCCAGCCCCAGCAGGTGAGGCTGGCCAGCAGCGAGGCGGGGCCTCCAGCCTGGGCACAGGATGTCCCCAGGGCAGGGGCAGGCTGGAGGGAGCCGGCACAGCCTGCAGAAAAGGCCCGGAGACCCCTGGACCCCAGCCCTCTCCCCGCGTGAGAAGCCTCGTCAGGGGAGGCTTAGCCACTCGAGGAAAGGCATTTGGGCGCCAAGAAGAAAGCCACGGCCCCAGGCCCCGTGAGCCCCACAGTGAGAGCCCGCCGGAGGCCAGCAAAGGCGGGGGTGGGGGAAAGGCCGGAGGGCGGCACACCCCCCAGCGTCTGTGGACGGGCCTGAGTGGAGGACAGCGCGGGCGGGCGGGGGCGGCACGGGCCACCTGCTGGGAGAGAAGGGCCTGGGCCACCATGGCAGGCAAGGTGATGGGCGCCACCCCAAGGGACATGGGCAAAGGCCTCGCGCCCTCCATCCACGCAGACGGCGGCGGCGGGGCTGGCTGGGGCTGCTCCCTGTTGCACGCTCATGAGGGGAGGGACGTCCAGTCCCGGGGTCACCTGCGACCCGCGATGAGTCCAGCCCGATCCTCCTCCCCGGCCCTGCGCGCCCTCGCAGCCAGACGCGCTCTTCCGTCCGGTCCTTGCTCGTCCTCTCCTCACCTCCTCACCTGCTTCTTTCCTTTCTTCTGGGAAGCATCTGCGGAGACAACGGGGTCAGCTCGCAGAGGGGCAGACGGCGCACCACACACCACACTCAAGACACAAACCACACTCATGACACACCACACACACACATCACACACATGCATATCTTACACACATGCACACACCACACACATACACATCACACATATTACACACATGCACATCATACAGACATGCACACATCACCCACAGCACACACAGCACACAATACACATCACACACATGCACAGCATACACAAATGCACACGCACCACACATACACATCACATAACAGCACACACAAATCACACATATGCACATCATACAAACATGCACACACGACACATACCACACACATATACACATCACATACACAGAGCACACACACACCACACATATACACATCACACACAGCACACACTTCACACCACACACATCCCACATACCACACACACATATATACACATCACACACAGCATACACACACACCACACACACACACCACATATATACATACAACACACATAGTACACACAGAAAATACAACACGCCACACACAGCACATGCACACCACACACACGGCATACACACACCACACCACATACACTTATATACATACCATGCACACTCCACATACCGCACTCACCACACACACATATATACTCACCACACACCACACACCACACAGACACAGGCCGCCAGGCAAGGGAGCGCCCTACAGGCGCTGAACCCAGGGTACGGCCACGAAGGAGGCGAGGCCCAAGGCCGCCCCCTGGCTCGGGTTCAAGGAGAGCAAAGCGTGGCTTCAGTGACTCGAGCAAAATCAGCACGAAGTTCTTAAGGATCCCTGGAGCCACACACGCGGGGGACAGATGGGGACGAGCGGCCCAGAGCAGCGCAGCGCAGCCTCTGGCAGGAGGCGCATCCTCCCGAGGGAGCAGGCCCTGGTGGCCGCTGGTCATCAGGGCAGGGCCATTAGAAGTCCAGCCGCTGATGGCCCAGGACGCCAAGCAATGTTTGTGAAGCTCAAGGAAATGCCAGAAAAGGCTTTCACTGCTAAAAGGAAATGGCCTTGGAATCTAGATCCTGCCACGAAGCAAGGAATGAAATAGAAAGAAGATGAACCCAGTGATTCTGCGTCACCGTGGAAAACTAAGGAGCTCTGGGCTGGAGAGCCACTAGCAGCTGCATATTTCCGGCCTCCCCTCGCCATGTGCACCATGCACACGGGTCACAAGGGGCTGCAAGGCCCCCCTAGGTGAGTGAATACTGTACTCACCACCATTTATCACAAGCACGGGCGCAGGCCTCCTTAGCTCACAGCACTTTCAGAGTGTTCGATTATCCACTCGATAGCCGCCCACCCCTGCAACACAAAGATTTCAGCACTGAGTGGGCCCTCCCGCCTCGCGCTGCAGACAGCAAGGGACAAGTCCACGGGCTAAACTGCAGAAGGGAAGCACTGCAGTTACAAGGAGACACAGCAGTGACCTTTCCAAGTGATCTTCACACAGGCAGGCAGTTCCTGCAGCTCAGAAAGGGGAAGGAAAACAGTGCCTAAGCGTCACTGCTGTGTTAGCAAACCAGCGCCCCGCTTAGCTCAGTACAGCAAGTCCTGTCCCTCACCTCCCAAATCCCAGTGCTGAGGCTGCCCCGGGAGGCCAGGAAAGCCCAGGGCGACACCTCCACACACCCCCAACCCCATCCCCTGCACCTGCCCTCAGGCCTCTCCGCTGTTTCCAGGCACAACACCTCTCCCCACCGGGCTAGGGGAAGCAGTGATTCTCTCCTAAGCCTTCAACACAACCCCTAATAAAGTGAAATAAAGGAAAGCCAATTTGTCCTCACTGAGTTTACCCCAAGTTTTTCACATAAAAGATCTAAGGTAGCTGCGGCCTCACTGAATATTCCCTTCCTCTTATAATATTTTGTTTGGCAAACATTTAGGGCTTCTGCCCTAAACCAAGCACTGGAAATGATGGATGAGACCCGGGCTCCTTCCTCCAGCATGGACAAAGCTCTCCCGCTTTGACCTTCACGGCCCTGCCTCCTCTGAACTGAGCTAAGCTGCTCAAATCTCTACTTCTCACATCTGGAGTCCACAAAATTAGATAGACAGGCTCTTCTGTTGGTGATGAGACTAAACGCAAGCCATAAATGGTTTTCCACTGGTTGGCGAGTTAAGCACGGAAGGACATTGGAAAGGGAAGTACAGCCTTAGGAATCACCCACTGATCCCAGAAATGAAGACTCACTTCTGACCCCCAAAAAGGGGGGAAGAGAAAGAGGGAGGGGCACGGGGGACAGACAAAGGGAAGACATGAGCTTGTCAGGTGGGCCCAGGTGAAAAGCAAAGGCCCTGCTCTGGCAAGTGGCATCCTTTAAATGTGAGGAACATCTTCCTCCCAAACATTCAAGCTCTTTCCATCACCTCTGCTGGAGGGGAGGGCAACCTGGACTTCTAGAACGATCTCTGCCTCCATTCCAGTGCCCTAGACACAAAGGGAGTGCCATGGATGGATCCCTCCTGGGATCCATCCTTTCTCCTCTCACCTCCACAAAGCTCACTGCCAAATCCTGCCAGAGAAGAGCTATGAAGGCAGCGGCAGGCCCCACGGAAGCATCACTGCTGGACAGGTTCAGCCAAAGCCACGTAATGCCCATCAAATAGGAAATGACTCTAAGTCCTGAATAGCCTACCTGACACTGTTAACACCTGGTATCTCTGATGTTGTGGGTTAGTTTGCTTTGGTAACTGAGCTTATGACATTTGGGCTCTTCGAAGTGGTAGTTGCCTTGGCTGGGTTTACGCTCCAGGTTTACCCCATACTTTCTCTACTGAGAAGAGTAACTTTACGGCTCCCTTGGCTTTCACAGATGCACTTCCCTCAGACCTGGGTCAGCCTTTCCGGACCCGAGTTTTGAAATGCTGTAGCATTATGAGCTCAGCACAAATGGAGAGCCCCAGCACTCTGGATTTTATTTATTTATTTATTATTTTTTATTATTTTTTTTTAGACAGAGTCTCATTCTGTTACCCAGACTGGAGTGCAGTGGTGGCTCAGCTTACTGCAACCTCCACCTCATGGCTCCAAGCAATTCTCATGTCTCAGACTCCTGAGTAGCTGGGACTATAGAGGTGTGCCATCATGCCCAGCTAATTTTTGTATTTTTAGTAGAGATGGGGTTTCAGCATGTTGGTCAGGTTGGTCTTGAATTCCTGGCCTCAAGCGGTCCGCCTGCGTTGGCCTCCCAAAGTGCTAGGATTACAGACATGAGCCAACATGTCCAGCCAGGAAGACTTATGAGACTAAAAATGTCATCTTCTTAATCTGGCACTTAACAACTAGAGCACACGCAGGGCTTCTAGGATTGAGGTACATACCTTCTTTGCATTGGATGATATCGTGTTGGCCATTAAACTTTCCAAATAACTACCGAGGCTAATCCCCTTCACGGTAATGATGGCTTCTTGTGTGAGCACGGTCCTGCAAAAGAGCAAGAAGAAAAGGGGCTGACCAGCCCTGAGAGAGACGAGGGTCTGCCCTGCCCTCACCCTTGGCATTCAATGTGTCAGTCCCACAGGAGATGACTCACATTTCTGGGTTCTCTGGATGAGGTGTGTACACCAACCTCTCATTAACTGACACCAAATTTGTGAGTGTGATCTTAAAAAGAAAAAAAGGTTTAGATTGTATTTCTCTTGCATTTCTCCCAAAACTGCCTGCCCATACTCTTCCATCCCAAAATTAGCACTTAGTGGGGTCAGAACAGAAGAAACTTTTAGGCATAGGAGATACGACCACATTAAGTCCTAGCAAATCATGGCTTTGCTGTTCCTTCTGGCAACTGTCATCTGTCTTCTTCCCATGTCCCACTCCACACGTGAGCAGGGCTCTGGCCTTCAAGGTACAGTCAAGCTGCCAAAACTATCAGAAGTTGTATTATAGAAAAGGACAAAAAGTCCTGTGTGTTCATATAAGTGAGAGAAAGCTTTTCACCTACCCACGGCAGCCCACGGAGCACTGTCTCCTAGGACTGGATGGGACAGACTCTGAATCTACATGGAGATTGCAGGGTTCTTTTCTCCTCCAGTACCACTTCCTATAAACAGACTAACTCCCTATGAATATTTATACTTTTTTTTTTTTTTGAGATGGAGTGTCACTCTGTTGCCCAGGCTGGAGTGCAGTGGCGCAATCTGGGCTCACTGCAAGCTCTGCCTCCCGGGTTCACACCATTCTCCTGCCTCAGCCTCCCGAGTAGCTGGGACTACAGGCGCCGCCACCACACCCGGCTGATTTTTTTTTCCGTATTTTTAGTAGAGACGGGGTTTCACTGTGTTAGCCAGGATGGTCTCGATCTCCTGACATCGTGATCCGCCTGCCTTGGCCTCCCAAAGTGCTAGGATTACAGGCACGAGCCACCGCACCCAGTCTACCTTTTCTATCAAAAGCAATGTAAACACTGGAGCTCTAGAGCCACGCTAACAGAATTTTCTGTGGTAACAGTAATGTCCTATGCATGCTGTCTGATGTGGTAGCCACAAACACATGCAGCTAATGCACCCCTGAAATGTGGCTCACGTGACTGAGGAATGGAATTTTTAATTTAATTTTATCCTAATTAGCTTAATTTTTTTTTTTCAGACGGAGTTTCACTCTTGTTGCCCAGGCTGGAGTGCAATGGTGCGATCTATTTACAGTAGAGATGGGGTTTCGCCATGTTGGCCAGGCTGGTCTCAAACTCCTGACCTCAGAGAAGTCAGGTGAGCTGCCCGCCTCGGCCTCCCAAAGTGCTGGGATTACAGGCGTGAGCCACCGGGCCGGCCATAAAAAGCTTAAAATTAAATAGCCATGTTTCTGGTGGCTGCCACACTGGACAACAGAGCCCTAGAATTGCTTCATTGTTTAACCCAATTCACCCTCTTCTTCAAACGCCACTTCTGATAAAAGACCATGTTTTAAAAAGTTTAAGCAGTGAAAAGCAAATTAACCTTTCTGTAGTGACACTCATTTTTTTCAGTCATCTCTCACTGAATCCCTCCCCCAGCCTCACTGTCCCAGTGCAAATGGTTAGTAGGAAATCTCTCTCCTACTGAGTGCCAGGTTATCAAGAGTCTCACGTGTATGGGCATTTCATGCTACAGAAATATCTAACAATATCAATTACGAATTAAACTCTGATTAGCTGTTGTCATTTTATGTGCAATATTTTATGCAAGTCACTGTGTTGCATAAACCTTACTTCTCTGAGGTTTGTTCTTTTCTTTTTTATACGAGAAATGTGAGACTCAGAAAATGCAAATAGCATCCCCAAGTCATCGGGTCATCCAGCGACGGCTTCAGGATGCAAGCACATGGCTTGCTCCAAACCCCGTTTCCTTTCCATCAGACTTCACTGGAGCATAAACTGTTCCTTTTTACCTACAACTGAATTTTCTGAAAGCATAAGGTGGAATTTCGTAAGTAAATACTGATTTTGGGAGCAGAGAGAACAGAATACATAAGCTGTGAGGAATAGCCAGGGGGCCCCAACTGAGGCTCCTGTGATTTTGTGCAGCCTGGGACAAGGAGCCAGCAGGACCAGGGACACTGGCAGAGGTCCAGGTAGTACACTAAGGAGCTAGGCTCTATCCTGCAGGTGGCTCAGAGCCTCATCTCAGCACACAGGGACGCACCCACTGCCTTCTACAGAAGGTGCCCCCAGCTGGGCAGAGTGTGGCTGGCCGACAGCACCAAGCATCCTGGCGGGCTACTCCCACGGCCGCCTGAGAAGCTCATAGGAGCTCCTGAGGCCCTCGGGTTGGGGCAGGGGAGCTGCGGGACCCAGAGCAGCTCCACTTTGTTTCAAACACTGGGCCTCCCACAAGATGCTGAGAAGATGGGGAGCTGCCCAGGTACCAGTTCGGGTACTTGCATATGGCTGCCTGGATGACCTGCTCCTCAGCCCTGTCCCTACCCACTGTGCCCACCAGCCCTGTCTGCCCCTGGGCCCAGGTCGCCCCTCCCTCGCTGCAGCGCTGCTGGCCAAACCTTCAGCTTCAGGCTGGACACTCCAGGGCCTGCTGTGCAGGGGCTGCATACTCGGGATGTGCAAAGCAAGCTTACCTCTCTCTTCTCACACCTGTCCCTGATGGGCCACCATTCAGCCTGGCGCCCTAACCAGAGAGTGGAGCTGCACCATGAGCCTCCCGTTCCTCACTCGCCATGTCTCGCACCAGGTGGCCTCTGTTACCTCTCACCTGGACAATTACCTGCCCGGACTACTGGTCTCCCTGGCTTAGGTTCCAACATCCCCCCCACCCTCTCTCCACAAGCCTGCCAAGGTATTCTTCCCAACACACACCCCGGCTACCTCACCTTCCTGCAACAAACTCTCAGCACCTTCTTACCACAACAACGACCTCCAGCTCCTCTGCCTCTTCTGTGGTCTCGTCCCTGTCCCTCTCCAGCCTCCTCCCTCCCACACCACCTTCCCCTCTTAGTCTCCAACACCATCTGTTTGTGGCTCTCTAAGGCTCAAGAGCACCCACTGCCAGTGTGTCTGGAGAAGTCCTGCCAGGCTCCCTGTCACCTACCTTCACACAGCCACTTAGGGGGGCTCCTGCTCACTGCCACCTACACAGGTTGTTTAGCTGCCGACCGTGGGATGACAGAGCCAGTCAGGAGGGAATATCTTTTAATCCTTGCATTCCCCATCCTTAGCACTGTGCTGGGTACCTGGCAGGCACTTGATACTGTTGGCAGAACCAGTAAATGAGTGGTGGCTAGAGCCAGCCGTGGCACTGGGGACAGAAAAGGAGGCCAGATGAGGGCATGGCTGACTTCACCCACCATAGCCCATTTCTATATTTGCTGAAAATAAGGATTATTTTATGAAATAATTTTCCTAGCCCATGCATATTCCCCAACATGTTCTTTGCATTTGCATTAGACCAATATACATTTTTTTAATTGAGAGAAGTGAGAGAGGAATGAAGTGGGGAAGTAGCTTTAAAAATGCCTGTAGGGGCAGGGAGCGGTGGCTCACACCTATAATCCCAGCACTCTGGGAGGCCAAGGGAGGCAGATCACGAGGTCAGGAGTTCGAGACCAGCCTGACTAACATGGTGAAACCCCATCTCTACTAAAAATACAAAAGTTAGCCAGGTGTGGTGGCATGCGGCTGTAATCTCAGCTACTCAGGAGGCTGAGGCAGGACAATCGCTTGAAATCAGGGGCGGAGGCTGCAGTGAGCCGAGATCGCTTCACTGCACTCCAGCCTGGGTGACAGGGCAAGACTCCGTTTCAGAAAAAAAAAAAAAATGCCTGTTGGTGGTGCACACCTGTAGTCCCAGCTACTTGGGAGGGTGAGACAGGAGAATCGCTTGAACCCATGAGGTGGAGGTTGCAGGGAGCTGAGATCCACTGCACTCCAGCCTAGGTGAGAGAGACTCTGTCTCAAAAAAAAAGAAGAAAAGAAAAGAAAAAAGCAGGTTGGGAGGCATCACTTGAGACCAGGAGTTCGAGACCAGCCTGGGCAACAGCGAGATCCCATCTCTACAAAAAATTTTTTTAAAAAGTAGCCAGGGGTGGTGGCTATCTGGGAGGCTGAGGTCTGTGCCTGTGGTCCCAGCTATCTGGGAGGCTGAGGCGGGAGGATCACTTGAACCCAGGAGTGTGAGGCTGCATTGAGCTATTGACCACACCACCGCACTCCAGCATGGGTGACAGGGCAAGACCCAATCTTTAAAAAAACAAAAATGTCTGCTGGTTGTCAAGACAGCGCTTATCCTGTGGGGGGTGCCCAAGGGGTCTCAGGGCCTGGTCAAATTCTGTTGCTTGACCTGCCTGCTAGTTAAGAGGTGTGTTCTTTGTGACAATTCATCATTATGTGCATTTTTCTACATACTTATTATACTTGAATAAAAAGATAAACTGCTAAATAAATTCAGCCTTTCTATGAAAAATATCAACATCTAGGCCAAAGGTGGGCTGGAAATAGAATTAAACGAAGGCCTTACGCGCCACCACCCAGACACACTGAGCCCCTTTCTCATCTGAGGCCATTGCTTACATTGGTGGAACAAAGTTCCATTTTCTTTTCCACTGGATCCACCACAGAATGTTCTTGGATGTATGTCAAAGTCCTACTGGTTCCCAAAATCTAAAAAACAAAGCAAAACTAGCATAGTGCAACGCTAAAAATTCTATTTCATATCACCACCGAATACCACTGCATTTACTAATTAGTTCACTATTCAAGAAATGGTATCATGGGATGCAGCAAGGGACAGAGACAAAACCCCTGTGTCCAGCAGGTGAGCCACTGAGCAAAGAAATGAATTCCAACAGAGTGGAGCGTCCGGCAGCACTATGCTCCCGGCAAAATACAACAGGCTGCGGGCAGTGGAGCCGGGAGGCCCCTCTGCCGGGTGGGGTCTGGGCAGAGCCCCAAAGAGGAAGGTGCCACCATAGTGCTGGGGTGGAGGTGTTGGGCTGGGGGCGGCAGGTGCAGACCCTGCAGCAGGAGCTGGGCTGACTGAGGGGCCTGCACCAGGCCAGGGGTTGGGGTGAGCCGTGCTCAGATTCGCATTTCCAGTGACCTCCCTGGCTCTGAGGAAGAGGCCGCGGGGGGCTGAACCATGGTGAAGCCTAACCCCGGTGCCCGAGGATGAGGCTGGATGACGCTGGGCTTTAGAGGCGATTAAGCCAGAGGAGGGGCGTGTGGCGGTGCTAATCCAGCACGCTCGGGCCCTTTGGGAGAGCAGATGGGGATGCCAGACGCCAGGCGCCTGGCAAAGCCTCCTGCGCCCCCCGATCTTGAGGAAGCCCCACCACCACCCCC